GAACTGTTTTACCCCCACTAGGCCGGCTTGTCCAAACTTGGCCACTTTAAGAAGGGGTGCCTCACCACCCCCAAAATCCCCCGCCCGCCGGGCTGGGCGGGGGAATTCTGGGAGTTGAAGTCCACTCATCTTAAAGTGGCCAAGTTTGGACAACACTGGCTTAAGCAATAGATAGGAGCACCATGAGAGAGAAACATCTTTGGCCAAAACACAGAATTGCCCTCAGAGACAATCCCTATGCCAGTATTTACTTTATGGTGCCCTTACAAACTGGTTTATTTGTCTGTAGTAAATATTCTTTTCTGCATATTTATGATTCTTGTGGAAATCACAAAGAATTGTTTGCCAGCTTAGCTTATAGTTACCTATTCCCCAAAGGAACAGCAATTCAAAAATGGTTATATGGATCTTATCAATTTAGTCAGCAATGTAGTAGAATAATTTCTGAGTAAGGGGCACAAGTATAAGTAATCAGCCACAGATAAGCTGGTAGAGGAACAGATTTGTAATTGAATTAAATAGTATTGGATACTTCTAATACTGGAAATTGAGGGAAGGTACTTGGTTATGTTGCTGAAAGCCCTTCAGATATTCACCCATATTAATTGGGTCTCTATTGTAAGAAATGCCCATTGGCTAGCTGATTTTGCCCTCTTAACCCCTTTCAGACCATTATTAAGAAAAGACTTTTACACTCCAGAGCAGAAGGGCAAAATGTGTAGTCCATCGGCGTTCTCTTTGTGGCTTTCAGAGCTCCCCAGTGGACAGAGACAGAAACCGGGACTTCTTCTTCCATTTTTGAGGAGTTGGGGATTTTAAGGGCCATAACAGGTGTATTAACCCTTGATGATGCTTCAGGCATCCAATTTACCCCTCAAAACTTTTGAAAGCCTTTCTCGGTATGGGCCCTGGTACCAGGCACTTTTGCAATAGAGCCTCAATATACAGAATATATACAATATACAGAAACTGACCAATGTTCTGCAAGTCTGCTATTAGGGCCTTCATTAGGGGTGGCTTCTAAATCCATGAATTCAGTGTTTTATGGGCACGAAGAACTATTTGAACAATGTTTCCCTTGTTTCGTAACATGTTAAATAATTCTGTTTATATTTACACTTGTATTTAGGTCTGTTAATCCATGGGAGGAATTGGGCATTCTAGGCTAATCTTTACAGTATTTGCTACTTCTTGAAAATCAGAAAGCAAAAACTTCTAATTTTCAATTGTTTTCCTCCCTCCCTTTCTCTTTTTAGCCTGGGAACCACCATATCAAAAGTTTATATTTATTTATTTATTTATTTATTTATTTATTTATTTTCTTATTTATTTATTTATTTATTATTTTAATTTGCTTTGCTGTGGTGTTTACTTCTAATGCAATTATAACACAAAACAGAATTGCTGCAAGATGAATATATGCTGGTGTTTGGGGTTATTCCCCCTCCTTCTCAAGCTACAATGCCATTAAGCTGCAACATTAACATTCTCGCACCTTTTAAATATGGCAAAGAGAGTAGGTGCCTATTTTTATTAGAATGTATAGGTTTGTGTTCATCTAAAATAATCCACAACTTTATGCTATTAATAACAATGTAAGTGTATTCCTTTTCCAAAGTGACACTGGTGGCAACTGCTGTTGCTAATAAGTTGTTAAAGAGTAATTGAAGAACATTAAATTTAAACTGGCTGTGACGGATGTCATAGCAGATTGTTATATAAAATTACTTTAATACCACAAGTAATTCTGTTTTTGCCTCTGACAGATTTCCAGATTTTTGCCTGGTGACAAATGTTATCCTAAATTAAGATATAGTTCTCTCTCAGTGAACTTTTAAAATTCATTTTTAGTAGCAGGTCTTTGTTCCTGAAGTTGAATGATGTCTTTCTGTGTTTTGAATTAAATTTTCTGTTAGGAAAAAGTGTGGTGTTTCTAGAATGTGAAGTATTTGTTCAATGAGCAACCTTTGGATCTTGTGCATTATCCTATGTAGATAATGATACCCCATCCGGTCCATAATGCCTTCTTCAGCCTTCTCTTAAAACCATACTAGTTTAGTATGTTTACTTATGTTTAGTATGTATACTTATTAGCAGTCACTCTTGTAGGTGAGTGGAAATATTTTTTGATACTCAAACGTTGATGACAACTGCAAAAGGTCTTTACAGTTGCACTGATCATTCTTCATTCCTCCCTCTCTCTCCTTTTCTCTTTGTCTCCTGAGAGAGATGAGGAGCATACAACTTGATGAATCAGAAATTGTCATAGTTGTTCTTCTGCTTTTACATTATGAACACTTTGACAGATTTCTATTGCCTGCAAGCCTCTTGACTTTATCAACAGTTGGCTCTCTGTTTTATTTGTATGAATAGAAGAAGGGGAAAACGCTAATAGAGAAATTTAAAGAATGGGTAATTTGATGGTACTTTATTGTCTTGGAATACAAAACTATATGTGTTAACAGAACTATTATTATCCTGCCTTTATTTTTAGTGTTTTTAATTTTGTATCCACTTAATAATAGTAAACCTATCATTTTAATTTGATTATACATGAATACAAGATATGTCTTTTCTAAAATGGCCATATTTAGGATTTATCCACATTTGGAATTTACCCCATAATTACCAAAGTCAAACCCGCACCAATACTTCAATACTACTGGAGTTGGGCAGCCAATAAATTTACACAAATAAATAAATTAATAAATGCATGGAAAAAAGTAAGATTTGTCTCACACACAAAGAAGGACATGAAAAAATAAATAAATAAAGCCACCAGCATACTTTGTACTTCTTGAATTAAAACACAAAATAAAAGGTGGATATCCCTTTTTTATCTCCTTGAATGTTGTAGTTCAGTTCTTCAGTGAGTGAAAAATGAGCAAATTAACAAAAACCGCCTATAAAACAATGTTTGAAAGTATTTGAAAGTATTCACAAACTAGTGTGGAACTAGTGCGACAAATATATTTGAAAAAAATAGATATATATTAGAACATAGTGCATCCGTAGTAGTATGAACATTGATTCATTTAGAAATCAAGAAAGAAAAAGATTATTTGGAATATATAAACCCTGAACTCAAAGAACTTTGAAATATAACTGATAATTTTAAATCTTTGTCATATTCCCTTCCTTATCTTCTTGTTTTAAAGCATTTGGACATAATGAGTGCCCTGATCCTGGTATACCAATCAATGCACGTCGGTTTGGAGACAATTTTCAACTGGGGAGTTCCATATCTGTGATTTGCGAAGATGGTTTCATTAAAATTCAAGGAACTGAAACAATTACTTGTGTGTTGATGGATGGCAAAGTGATGTGGAGTGGACCCATCCCTAAGTGTGGAGGTAGGTAGAATAGACATATGAGTTCCTACCTATTGTAATTTTATTATAGTTTTTATGCTAAAGTTAATTATTTTGCATATTTGTTTTCTCAATGTGTAACCTAATAGGTGAATTTCACAGCCAGCTTTTCTTTTGATGATGGAATCTTTGCAAATATCATCTGATAAGATTATCTTGGATGATAATATGGGTTACAGAATATTACTTATATTGAACGTTCCGTACAGGAAGCTAAATGCATGCTGGTCTGTTTCACATGTTCAATTTCCATATTTCTCATGTGAAGCAGTCTTCAATTGCTCATTTTCGTATGTAAAACTCATATGTAAGACCTATTTTTCCTAAAGTATTCAAATGTCTTGACGCTGCTTTGTCAAAATAAACTCCTAAAATGTTTCTGGTAATATACTGATATTTTACTGTTATCAATTACATAACCAGGCTGAATCATAACTCTGTTTTGAAACATGCAAATTGTTTAGCAGCTGGTACCACTTGTCCTCCTTAGTTTATTTCTGAAAGAAGAACTAAAATTTCTTCAAGTTGCTAATAGCTTAGTGCTTTTTTTAAAAAAATGCACCATTAGGATTAAAGCAATGCTTATTTGGTTAATAATGCTATGCTCAATAATTCAGTTAATTTAGTAATTCACTCTATCATGGTCGATTGAATGTAACAACAATGTTTTGTTTTGGCTCTAACTTATATTGGAAGGATAATATAAACTGATTGCAGTAGAATAATTATTTATAACATTTTAAACACGTTAGGCACAGAAATATTTCCAGTTATGTGAAATCATTACAGTTTAAAACACATTTTCTGGGAATGCAGTATATTAAATGCCCACTTGTTATTTCATAAACAAATAACATACTGTCATATTAAGAGGTTTTTCTACCCTAAGTACTAGTTTTAATACAAGAATAAATGCAATTTTATGTGATTAAAATCATATTACTTCAACAACTATATTTTGATAGGATTTCAGGAATCTTCACTCTAGCAAAGGCTTTTTCTGCTCCAGATAAAACTTCAGTGAAACATTGATAACATTCAGAATTATAATTATAGAATGTTAAATTAATTAAATGCAAGTAAAATAATATATTTTTTGGTGCTTCTGAGTCAGTGTTGACTCCTGGCAACCGTCTAGACTAGTCCCTGCAGCTTTTTTGGTAAGATTTCAGAAGTGATTTGCCATTGTCTCTTTCCTAGGGCTGAAGGGGAGTGACTGGCCCAAGGTCACCCAGCTGGCTTTGTGCCTAAGGCCAAGAAAACTGCAGGGACTTGTCTAGGTAATCTCCAAGAATTGGACACAATTGAATAGATTAAAAAAAAATCCAAAATCCAAAATTTGGAAATAACTATGCCCTATTTGTCCTATGATCTAATGCTGGTTTGTGCAGTTTATATCAGTAATAGCAACAATAAAAGCATTGAAAGCAAAGGTCTGATTATGTCCAACTGAGAGGTTTTAAAACATTCAAATGGAAACTGCCGGCTTTCTAACAAAATATGCAATAGGTGCCCCAAAATCCTCCATTATACAGGATTAGAAAATATCTAATATAGCACCAAGTTTTTAAAAAGGGGTGAGTTTAAAGAGCCTTCTGTATGAATTGGTGAAAAATCTTACAGCAAGGAAAATTACTGGGCAAATGGGAATATATGTCTTGCTAAAAAAAAAATGAATATGTCTTCTGCAAAAGTAACTTTTATCTTATAAACAGATGGGGATAAAGAGGATCTTACCTGGATTTGAAAAGACATTTGACAAATGCCTCATTAAAGGAATAATGTGTAGTTAAAGAATAGGAATTTTTAAAGATTGGTCCAATAAATCTTTTCCAAAAAAATTATTTGGACTATATTTTTCAGTATCTTTGCTCATCAAAGGAACAGCAGAGTATTCCATTAGCATCCTTCCAACTGGAAGAAAAGTCATTAAAATGGCAAATCTTTTTTTCATGATAATGGTATCAATAATGAATGTTAGGGGACAAAAATCTCTGATGGGGTCTGAGCTGACAGTGAGCAACCAAGAAATAGGTTTTAAGGTTCTGCTGCATTGTTCAGTAAAGATGTTAAGCCACAACGTGACTGCTGGGGGGAAAAAAGGCAAATTTTCATGTTAAGAATAATTATAGAGAATCCATGTTTTATTCACCCTTAGAAGACTGTATACAGTTCTGGCAACATCCTAAACCAATATTAAAATATTAAAAGAAAAGATACAGAGAAGAACAATCCAAATGTCCAAAGGCCTGGAACACTTTCCTTACTACAGAACATCTGCAACATTTAAGAAAGAAAGAAAGAAAGAAAGAAAGAAAGAAAGAAAGAAAGAAAGAAAGAAAG